CCCCGCTCGAATGGATGTAAAAGTATAAAAACTCTTGATCGTTCGTGCTACTTCCGAGCCATTTCCTGGTATTTCGAATTCGTGCTCGATCCCACGAGCCCGGGGATCTTCTTTTTAAATCATTTTCATGCGTGCACGAAAGCTCGAGCTGATTTCATCGAGACCAACGCTCAGATTCAACGGTCATCCACACTAGATAGCCATCGAGGTGTTATCGAACCGATTTCTTTTCCTAAATAGTCAACGTTGGTCTCCCTTAACACGTTGGGTCGTGACATTGGGCCCACGTGACGCAAAAATAAGCGACCGAATTTTTTAGCGAAGGAACTGTGGTGGCACTTCCTGTTTTCACTGCTAGAGGGACACCACGCGTTTCTCTGGTTTCTCACAAGTGAAAATTTCGAATAACATTCATTAAGGCCATTTCCGACCGACATCTAAACATCTCGGCTAAGTTCATCTAAGGATGAACACTCCCTTCCTTTTCTCCCCTCTCTTGCTCATCCTTCACAGAACTGCCACCACACTTACATGTAATATTATTAAATAATTGCATCGTATCCTACTTTTACATTATTTCAATATTATATTTAATTTCACTTTTAAATACAAAACCTCCATCCCATTAATCGCCATTTAATACAAGTATACCCAACCCTGCAATCATACAATTGGTATTTCTTTTACCTTGGCCCATGCTTAACTCTTTTCTAAACAACACATTTCAAATTTTTCTCTCAATACCCGAGTCAGAACACAATAGTCGCGCTTTGAAATCAGTATCAACCCCGATATTCATATCGGAATCTTATTCCAACAACGCTAACGAGCACCTCGGTCATCGAAGACAAGTGAAATACAAGCGACACAGAAACGTCGCGAATAAACGCAAGATATACGAATGGTTCATAAATACGTCACGATAAAAAATTCGCCGCGATAACGAGTGGAAAGTTTAGCATAGCCGTTCCGGGGATATCAGCGTCAAACTTCTCGCCGAGGGAGGGGATATCAAACAGAATTTTTCACCCACCGCGGGTACCGTTATCTTGACAATCCTAACGCGAAAAATGCACTTTGTTTCGCCTGAAAACCGACGCAATACGTTCCGCCGAGCGTAAAATCGTTCGTGAAAAATGGACAACGGGTAAGCTGGGAAGAAAACGGGGTTTATGGTAAACGCGTTCTGCATGTTCAACGTTAAATGCTGTTACACTTAACAACTTCCACTTTGTGCACGAATATTCCGCGCCCGAGAAGCCTTCAGGTGCGTTCTATTTAATTACGAAAAATGTAAATCGTACCGTGGATAAATACGCCGGACAATATTATCGTCGAATTAATTTGTAATAGTTGAATATTGTTGCGGTTTAATTAAGGGAGCAACTGTTTTCGAAAAGAAATATAAAAGAAAATACGGATAATAAGCTGAACAGGCAGAGTCCTGGGAATCGCAGTTTTGCAACCTAACACGAGTAAATCTGTGCATAAAATATTTTATTAATTCTTAACGCAAGAAAATTATATATAAACATATTCCTTCTTAAAATACAACATTAACCCCTTCCCGTAACATTTAGTTCGACGAAACTCGGCCCGAAAACTGATGTTTACGTTTGGTCCGACTATTTGCTTACGAGCCTGGCATGAAAAATTCATCGACAAAAAATATTCACGAAAATGTGTTATTGAGAAATAAACGTGGACCAATAGAAAACAATCTTTACCATGAAAGAGGCTGAATGAAATCTGGTCATATCGTTATTTATTTTATGCCAGCGACGTATTGTGTATGATTTTCTTGAATAATATATTCAGAACTTTTCTTCGCATTTAAAGCACCCTGCATTGTTCTTTTCACGAGCGATTCTTTTTGTGCGCGTCGCGAATTTTTCGACGAAATTCACGGTGTAGTGCATACCAAAGTAAACGCAACTTTATTTTTTGTTGCATCTCGACCGCTCTGCTGGAAGGTTGCTTCTTCGGAAGTGAAGCACGGTTAGCAATTTACAATTCCTAATTGAAAAATGTAAACGAAAGAGTTTCGTGACTTGCAACTAAGTTGAAGCTTGAAAAATTTAACAAAGTTACAAGTGGAAAGGAATAGGGGGGAGGTTGTAATATTGTTGTAAATTAGATAAAATTTCAGAAAGTTGCAAAAGAAAAGGTTTCGAGTCTTTCGATAATGTTGTAGTTTGAAAATTTAAGAAAACTGGAAGAGAAGAGCTTGCAAAATTTAACATAGTTACAAGTGGAATGAAACGGGGGTTGCAACATGGTTGAAAATTAGATAAAATTTTAGAAAGTTGCAAAAGAAAAGGTTTCGAGGGTTTCGATAATGTTGGAGCTTGAAAATTTAAGAAAACTGAAAGAGAAGAGCTTGCAAAATTTAACATAGTTACAAGTGGAATGAAACGGGGGTTGCAACATGGTTGAAAATAAGATAAAATTTTAGAAAGTTGCAAAAGAAAAGGTTTCGAGGGTTTCGATAATGTTGGAGCTTGAAAATTTAAGAAAACTGGAAGAGGAGAGCTTGAAGAATTTAACAAAGTTACAAGTGGAGATTGGTGGCGTGCAACATCGTTGAAAAACTAGGCAAAAGTTCACAAAGTTGCAAACGAAGAAAGATTCGAGGCTTCCGACAATGTTGAATGTTGAAATTTAATAAAACTGGAAGAGAAGAATTTCTTTCACGACTTACAACAAATATTGAAGCTTTCAAATTTTAACAAAGTTAAAAATGTAGGAAATCGAGTTTGCAACAATATAGGAGTTTCAAAAAATATCGATTCGAATTGAAAATTGAATTGCGACTGTGAGAGATCTAAGAATGCAACAATTATTGCAAAACCAAAAGAGTCACATAGTTGCAAGTGAAATACATCTATAAAATGTTATGAACGAAAATGATGAACATAGTTACAAATGCAATTAATCTAAAAATGTAACAATTGTTTACTTGACATTTATTTTGGGTGTAATGTACTGTACACGAATTTGAGATTTAATTATTGTTTCGAATTAAACGAGATTACAGTCGTTGATCGAGTTGTAAGAGACAATGTTTTAGAAAAAAATAGCAGAGTCAACAAATCGCAAATAAATGAAATCTAGAAAAGCAAGAGTTAGTGTCAAATGTGGTACTTCGAATTAGAGTTACCTGCTTCATTTATTAGTACAATGGAATCTAACCGTCGCCACGTATAATCCCTATTCATATGAGAACAATTACGCGCCTGCAGGAGCGAATGAAGTTGCGGATGTAATTGTAAATTGCCATTACTGAATCGTCATTGTCAATGTAGACAAAGGATGATTGTTATAGGATTCATTGTAACACCGCGTGCACATTTGTTGGTAACATAACCAAATTGTCATTAACGCGACGAGCATATGGATACGTTTGCGCCATCTCGGTGTAACATACGTGACGAGCACATGCATTTACAGCTTATTTATATTCAGAAGCTGCGAGCGTAATTTATTTGATAATTTTTGCATGTTTGGGTAAACTACTTCGCTTTATGGTAGAATATTTAAATTACACAGCTGCGTTCTTCCTGCAAATTAAATTGCAGAACAGAGAAAATGAATCTACTAATTTATCATGCAAATGTAATAACGTTTTTAATCGTTCTGCTTTCTATTATTTTTACACCTTCAAAGCTAATGAATTATGCGTATTAATATACTTGGAAAGGTGCTTTTTTCTTGCAAATTACGAAAATGTATATTGCAATTCATCAATTTTTAGTAAACTATTGAAGAATATTAAAGAAATTGAGTACGATTTAAGTGAATAAAAGTGGTATTGTTTGTAAAACTCGATGTTTCATTTCTGTTTCAGGTAAGTTACGCGAACTGGACACAGTCAAGTTAATTTCCAACGAAATTCCTCGTAACGGGTAATTATAATAATTCCACGTTATTAAAACCGAGATATTAGGTTGTAGTTCGTAAAATCCGCGGACTTCGTGGAACAATGTAATGAAATTAATTTCATACATGACCACTGCTCCAAAGTAACTTTGACGCTAGTAGGATAAATGCTTCAATTCAACCCGAGGCATCGTTTAATGAAGATTAGTCGCTTTGGAAGGTTGGAAGAATTTCCTTTTCAATTTTATTTATTTACTTGACAATTATTTTTGGTGTAATGTACTGTACACGAATTTGGGATTCAATTATTGTTTCGAATTAAACGAGATTACAGTCGTTGATCGAGTTGTAAGAGAGAGAATGTTTTAGGAAAACAAACTTTTAAAGAAGCAATACTAATGTTAGATTATGTATATGAGTATTATTAGATTCTTAGTATTATTAAAAAATTACAGAAGATAAAGTTATTTAGTTTCCTCTGATTAACAGAGTAGCATAAATTGATTCTTATAATGTTAAATTATGTATATGAGTATTATTAGATTTTTAGTATTATTAAAAAGTTATAAAGGACAAAGTTATATAGTTTTTTATGATTAACAGAATAGCATTAGTTCTATATTTTTACAATATTTTTATGGAAACAATGGCAATCTACTTTTTTAATGAAATAATAAATCTACTTTCCGTTTGTATTATAATGATTTTTAACAACCAGTAAATTTTCAATGTTTATGTTAAATGGAAACGTTGAATATTTTTCTCGCATAAAACATTTTCCCAAAAAGGAATTTAGGATTTATATTTCATATTTTAACAAAACACGAACGCAATCAAATATATCTCGTTCTTTTATTTTAAGTGAAAGCATACTTTTGATAAATCGCAGTATTAAACGTGAAATTCTAAAGCCTTTAGAAATCTAGATTGGGAATTAATCAACCACTCACCAGTCTGTTTCTTAAGAAGTGCACGTGATTCACGATACCAGGAGATTCCATTTTGAAGGTTCGTGATGGCATACACTGGATTCCTAACAAGAAAACTACCCTGGGTAGACGAAATAACAGACACACCAATCTGGGGGGGGGGGGGGCGGAGGAGGAGGAGGAGGAGGAGGATGAAATGCAGAGAGGTAATAAGGAGCAGTGATTCTCCTCTTGGGTATTAAAACCCGCACGCGAGCATTCGTGGATCACGAAACTATATTCCTTCCTCTATACAGAAGTTCATTCACTAACGTTCTTTTTGGGCGTTGGTCACGGAAGTGAGAATGTTTTTACAGTTATGCGTGCCAGAGATGTTCCTAGCGAAGTGGAAATCCCATCTGAAACACACAATTGCAAGCTGTTAGTGGAATTCTGGAAAATTATTAAAATGAGAAGAAATCTTCATTTCATGTACAGTTAATTATTTAGTATTCTAAATTAAATGATACAATAATATGATATGGTTGAACGATATGACTAGTATAGAGTTCATTCGATCTTTATTTTATACAGGGTGTTCCAGAAATGTTGGAGATCTTTGAAAGGGGTGGTTCGAGGAGTGATTTGAAACAAGCTTTTTATTACAGAAAATGGTGTCCGAGACTTGGTTAAGGAGATATTAACCCTTTGCACTCGAGAGGTGACTCTCAGTCACCACTAGGTTTCATTTAGGTCTAATTTCTTTGGAACTCGAAGTGTCAATAAAATAATTATCGAAGAGGTAAAATCAAATTTTCAAATCTCAAATTAGAGATCTCATTTTCGAAGTCAATCTAAGTTTAGCATTCGTGACAATAGAACGCTGAGAAAGCATCTCGAGTTGCTGATAGATACCAGAAAATATCAATGTAAACGAGTGCAAAGGGTTAACAGAAATCTCGACAAATCAGAGCGCGAGTAAGCCGGTATATGCAACTGTCTAGCACATAGCCTATTCTAGAGCGGCTATCGCATAGCCTATACTACTGTGGCTGACTAGCGCGTGGCCTATGCTACTGTGGCTGACTAGTGCGTGGCCTATGCTACTGTGGCTGACTAGCGCATAGCCTATTCTACTGCGAGCGGTCCACCGAAATACTCGTGCTCTGATTAGTTTGAGTTTTCTGATAATATCTTCGTAACGAAGCCTCGGACAACATTTTCCCCAAGGAAAAAGTTGTTTCAAATCACCCCCCGATCCCCTTCCACGGACCTCCAACATTTTTGTGGCACCCTTTATACAGTTAATACTTTAGCATTCTAAATTAAATGATACAATAATATGATATGGTTAAATGGTAAGAATTCAAAATTCTTATGTAACATTCATGTACATAATTCTACTGAAACATTTATTTAGACACACCGAACCTATCATTTGATTTTTAGACAAATTTCTACCGACGAAATAAACATGAATGGTTAAATGGTAAGACTAGCATACAGTTCATTCATGTATATATTAATAGTGAAACATTTATTTAGACACATCGAACCTATCATTTAATTTTTAGACAAATTTCTTCCGACGAAATAAGAAATATAAAATTAAATATGAAATTAGTTTTATAATTATGCAGAATAATTTGTAATCCTCCTCAATCTGACTGACTCTTTTCCAGTACATTTACGATATTTCTGTGTTAAAATTCCAAAAGCAAATATATTTTAAAAAATTGTTCCTACAGGCACGTATTCAGCAAATGTTTATCAGATAAATCTCACGTTAGGGGAGGGATAGCACGCGTGACGTTGACTTTGATGGAAATTTCACGGTTACGAGAATCAAGTTTCATCGAATGGGCTCGAGGGGTCACATTTCCCTTCGATGGCCAGGGGGATGGGATTCGTTCGGGTTTCGATATTCTCGAGGCTCGTAAAAGAAAGCCATTGGAGGGAAAGGGGGCCAATCGCGGCTTTCTCTGGACGATATACGAGACATGTCGTTTCTAAGGCGACTCGCTAAAGGAGCCACTTTACTGGGTCATAGACAGCCCGGAAAACTAATGATCGAAGCACCCTTCTACCTTTCGAACCTTTTCCCTTTTTCTTTATCGACGCGAATCGTAATTGTCTCGACTTTACAGCGTGCTCCCTCGACTTTCCAGACGCCCAGGGGGTGGGAGGACTCGGCATGGAATTAATGAAGGTTCCTCGCGTGTACTGGGAGTCTAAAAGCGTCTCGTTTGTTGATTTTTTGGATCCGGCTAAGAAAACTGATTGGAATTTACATTCGATGAAGATACTTACATTTTGATACTGTTAACAGCATTTATATTTTTGTTGAGCGATCAAATGAGCCGTTCACTACACAAATCGATTAAACTTAACATTTTTCCAAAAAATTTTAGATTTTAGATTTTAGATTTTAGATTTTAGATTTTAGATTTAGGATTAAAAATTTAGGATTTAAGAATTAGGATTTAAGATATAAGATTTAAGATTTAATATTTAAGATTTTAGATTTTAGGTTTCCCAAATTTTGTGCAGTAAACGGCTCGTATATTCTTCCATTTCAAAACCATCAAAGTATATGTGAAAATAAAATTGATTGCACAATATATTTCCAAACATTATATTTCCAAACATTATATTTCCAAACATTATATTTCCAAACATTATATTTCCAAACTGAAAGTTTCCCAGAGACCTGTTGCTAATCCCCAAGACCTCCACGTTGTCCGCAGTCGTCGATTCTCGAATCGTGTCGCAAACTTCTCGACGCGATCGGTAATAAACGGAACGACGTAAACGTCTGACCACGTGGAACACCCTGATACGAAAGTAAAGAAACACTTGCCGACCTCCCCCGGTTTGTATAAGCCATCCCCATCAGTGGGATCCGTGAAACAACCTGGCAGACCTTGGTCAAACACTTCGAGAGTTCTCTGTGTATTTATCCAAGTGAAAGATCGAGAAATGATCGGATACATCGTTAACGCGAACGTTTTTATACAAAGAAATTGGCTATCGACTCGACGAAATCGAGATTGGTACTTTGAATGTTCGTGGATTTAAACCGGTAATTGCTTTGAAGGTTTAGTTAGATTTTTGGGTTGGTTTGGTTTGGTTTCTAGTATAGAATGGTGGATGGTTAGGATGGTGGAAAACACTGTGCCGAACTTAATGGTTTCGCCTCTTGGGCCTTTTCGATAGAAGTGTGTTTTCATTCGTAACATTTGATATTGTGTCACGTAAAGGAAATGGTCGATGAGAAAGCAGCCTGTGATGCAGTTTCGTGGTAGTAGTTTGGTTTATTTTAGAATAATCAGAGTTGGATGTCGTTCAATCTAAATTTAACTTTTGTGGGAGATTCTGTTATGGGATAGTACTATTGTATGGTACGATGACTAATAATGATTGAATATCAATAGATAGGCCAATTTTAAATAGACCTAATGTAATTAGACACTACATTATGCATTCAGGTAATTATTTTGAAAAGAAAATATTATGGACACTATAATGTATAATAAAATATAAAATAATACCGAAAATATAATATGATATGAAACATTCATCTGTATCCATTCTGGTGTGAGAAACTATCAAATACAGTAATTCCTAATAAATTATTTCTGAGCCATACTATTGAAACTAGAAAATATTCCAGACACTATAATGTATAATAAAATATAAAATAATACAAAAGATATAATATGATATGAAACATTCATCTGATTCCATTCTGGTGTGAGAATCTATAAAATAGTAATTCTTAACAAATTATTTGTGAGTCATACTATTGCTTCAAGATGACAATTAATCTTTATAACAGAGGAAAGGGGTGCTTTTTAGTGTCCGAAATATTTTCTTATAATTACCTGATAATAATTTTGACAAAACCAAGTCTCGCCACATCCAAGTCTGGGACATACGAAAAACAATAACGCATGCAAGTTGCAAATCGAGGTGGACTGTGTACACCTGGCAGTTAATTACGTAAGCCGCAATATTGCGTTCAGCTAACCTGATCGCAGTTAGGACCGGGGGAGATTCAGTTCCGCCAGCTATTTCAAACTTTCGCGAATCTCGACCCCATTTTCGTGCCGTTATCGGTGCGCACACGTTCCGTTACTTCCGGCTGTTGGAAACTCGTATTAAACCCGCGATGTGTTGCTTTCCACAACTTTAAACCGATGCCGCCGAGCGACTCGTCTAGAATCGTCTAATTCACGCGTCGATGGACACTTTGACGGCTACCAATGCCACCGACACCCTCCCTCGTTCCACACCCAACCGTTCATCTTCCGTGCACGTTGAATTTTCGAGTCGGTTAATTCGTTCTGGAGCACTTTGTATATTTCTAATTCGATGAACAAAAAACGATAGCATTGTTTGTATAACAGATAAAGTTTGTATAATAGTGTAAAGAACACTATTCGAGGCAATGTTTATTGTGGAATGCGATTGTTTTGTATTTATACACATGGAAGGTAAATGATTGTATGAGTGTTCAAAAATAAATTTTATTATTTTGAGAATTAGTAAAATAAGTTTTATTATTTTGAGAATTTATTTTGTATATAATACCTCAATTTTTATATTCTAACAAGGACTTGTACTTTATACAACAAAGTTGCAATTAATTTCATTTATAAATCTCCTGTTTTATTATTTTGAGAATTTATTTTGTATAAAATACCTGAATTTTTATATTCTAACAAGGACTTGTACTTTATACAACAAAGTTGCAATTAATTTCATTCATAAATCTCCTGTTTTATTACTTTGAGAATTCATTCTGTATATAATACCTGAATTTTTATATTCTGACGGGGACTTGAACTTTACACCACAAAGTTACAAATAATTTCATTCATAAATCTCCTGTTTTATTATTTTGAGAATTCATTTTGAATGTTATCCCTGAATTTTGATATTCTAACGATGACTCGAACCTTACACCACAAAGTTGCAATTAATTTCATTCATAAATCTCCTGGAAATTCTAGTAGCATAGTATTCTATACACTCTATCAACGTCACCACGAAATGAACAATGGTTATGTAGTTTTATTATTCATATTTGTAGTTAAAAATGAGAATTATTCTCTGAAGATGAAGAAAACATTTGTGAATAGAGAATCGTGCAAAGGATGAGTTGCCAAAGTGGATCATCCGCAAGCTATTATATTACTATCGTGTATAACGGGAAATACCGTTTAACTGGTTTCAACATGACCTGCATCATTCGAGAGTTAGGGGAGTCATAAACGCAACGATTTATTGTACGATGAGTCGCACATTGAGTTATAACGACAGTGGCATCGCAGGACCACGCTCCCATTGAATCCAGCTGCGTCGTGCAACATGTATAACAAGCCCACACACTTTCAAATCTATAAAATACAGTAAT